CAGCACCACAATTCAAAGGCATCAATTCTTCTGCAGTCAGCCTTCTTTATGGTCCAGCTCTCACTTCCATACATCACTACAGGAAAAACCATAGCTTTGACTCTTCGGACTTTTGTTGGCAAGGTCATGTCTCTGCTTTTTAAGATGCTGTCAAGAATTGTCATCGCTTTCCTCCCAAGAAGCAGGCATCTTTTAATTTCATGGCTGCTGTCTCCATCTGTAGTGATCATGGAGCCCAGGAAAATAAAATCTGTCACTGCCTCCATGTCTTCCCCTTTTATTTCCCAGGAGGTGATGGGACCCATAGGAAATGGGAAAAAGCACAGGATGAGTTGAAACATCTCTGCATGCAGGTGAAAGGATTTCTGCTTCTCCTCAGTCAATCTTCCATTGTGATTTGCTTCCAGAGAAAAAGATTAACAACCTATTTCATTTTGGACAGTAATGTCAATCCACCGCTGCAGGGATAGGCTTCTGTGTACCTACCTCTCTAGCTTTCCAACTCTCTCTTTATGGACAGATCAGAGCCTGTGAAGTTACTTTTAGGAAGTGTTTAGTTATATTTCCAAGATCCCAGTTGCTTGTTACTGGCATTGTTATGTGTGTGTTTTTTTAAAAAAAAAACCTTTTTCTTCAGAAGTACATTTACCCCTTGAATTGCATGGAACTGAGTAGTATGGTCTATACACAGATGTTTAATCAACCGTCCAACCAACCAACCATTTCAATAAATGCTGTGCTGCTATAAGTAAATAAATATTCAATAAATGCTGCACTGCTATTCGCCTCCAGGAAGAGACCTGAATATGGTGGGTCTCAAACTTACTGAGGCCTCTTTGTTGGCAGAGCAGGGGGTCCCAGTTTGATGGTGATGTCCTGGATGGTTTACTCTCCTGGCATGGCAGCTCCACGTGGTGGCCGGGGAGTGTGCTGGGGCATGATGGGAGGCTGACGTGCGTTGGTGGAAGTCTCTTTCTCTGTGCATTTGTTAATCAACTGTTTATGCTTTGAAGTTATGCTTTTGGGAAAATGAGAGTTATACATGGATTTTGAACCACATGGGGTTCCAGTTCCCCTAACCCTAGTGTTGCTGAAGTGTGGCGGGCATCTTCAGAGGACAGGTTGCTCCAGAGCACAGGTTGCTGTCCTCTGAAGATGCAGAGGACAGAGACTGGCAAAACATCAGGAAGAACCACTTTCAGAACATGTCCAAGAAGCCCGAAAAACCCACAACAACCACTCTCTCTCTCTCTTTCTCAATCTTATCCAAAAGTAACTAGAAGGCTGACATGGTATCTTATACGGTCACCACTTGATTTATCCTTAATCCTTTAAAACCCCTTCCCAGGTTAGGACATCGGCTTTCAGACTGCCTTCGAAAATTTCTTGGGGTCTGGTGAGGACAAGATCAGAAAGTTCTGGAAAACCAACTTGTTCTATCTGACCAGTCATTTTTCCTGCATCACTAACCAGAAGAGACCACAGTGAGTAAGATCAAATGGGCGGGGAGGGTGCTGGGGCATGATGAGAGGCTGATGCAGATTGGGAAAGGTCTCTCCCTCCCTCCCTCCCTCCCTCGGCTGGGAAGCTTCCTCTGGCTCTTCTCTACAATCCCTTCGGTCTGCCCTCCCCCCTCCCCAATCCAGCGCCCCCCCCCCAAGGAGGGCCTTCTTAAGAGTCCCCTTC